CACACACACACACACACACACACACACACACACACACACACACACACACACACACACACACACACACACACACACACACACACACACAACACATGCGAACAACACACAGGTGGCCCAACGGTACGGTTTGGAGAAAGGCGAAGTCGCCGAAAATTCAGTCATCCAACAACAAGAACATCTATACCAACCTTGCGTCGGCTAAATAGGGGTAGTTTGTAAGAACAGATATAGAGATATCGACTTATGCTGAGGTTTATAAAAAGTCGATTTTTTGACTTAACGCTTAAATAACGCTACAAAACCGTAACTAACTTACACTGGTTGCCCATCAACTTCTATCCCACCTTCGTAGTGCAGATGAATAATCAACGCAAGGAATTTCGCTCCAATGATCTTGCGAGCAATATAGACCTCGTCTTTTTCCCTGGAAAACTACTACACGTTGTTTGAAGATAAATAAACTAAGCCCACAAATCTTCAAAGGCAATCTGACAGATTAGAAGTACACAGACTTATCAGACAGACATCGCACTTCCTCACTTGCCATCCTCATATTGGGATCATCTCGTGAACTCGTTGAGGTATCAACGCAGTAAGTGAATACATCTGGAAAGAGTGCAGCTAACCACCGTATTAAGACATTCAGCAAGATAAAATCTGGACAAGGAATAACGAGGGCTTGACATCCAAATAACACTTTATTGCTGGGTCGACAGACAGATTCACGAGGATCACCTTAGAAGAATTGTGGTTATAGAAAATTGAACGGAATTTCAAACTCCAAAAGACTTCAAATAGTTTATTATTATACACCATTTACCACTTAATATTCAGAAATAAATGAAAGGGGAGGAGAGAGCACGATAAATTATTAGAAGAACGAGAAAAAAGGAGTAATCCACTCCAAAGGAGATTCTATTTCCTAATGTAATGTAAATATACGAGCTGATTTCTTATACAGTCACACCGGACATATTATGGATAATGCATAAGATATAGCCCAAAAGTGGACTAAACAAGAAGATGCAGCCATAATTAACTATAAACAGACCTATAACAGCATTTCTATGGTCTAAGAGTAAACATCCTGCCCATGGTCCTATTTTGTCGAGAACTGTCCTTGACTTAATCAAATTTGATCTGAATTGAAAAGTCATTTAAACCGAAAAATGAAGGACGACTGTTGGTATACAAAAAAAGACGATCCTAATTCAGGACGGTTCTCTAATCATATTTGTGTCAAAGAATGATGAAGCAAATCTTACCCATATTTTCCTATGACAGCTTTAGACGTTACATACGTATTTTCTAACAGCAACATGTTAGACGTAGGAGCCGTAAACAACAAGATACGATAGAACAGTTTAAGGACCACAAGAATATCCTGAAGTTAATATAACACAGTCCTACAATCAGACTTTTTGGTAATTAACCAGGTTTTCTGATAACGTCTAACTAATATAAAAAGCTCTAAAAAGCTTCTGTAATGCTGACATATTTGCAAAACTCCGGGCCACAGGTGCCTGCGGTGGGGAACGAACGCGCTATTGTCCTTTCCGGGGAGTACTGACGGCTGATTGCTGATGGCAAGTGATCGATAAAACTAGCTGAAACAGACGAAACGAAGGACCCGTATGGTGTGGTGGTGAACGCGTTACTCCCTGGAAAGGACAATAGCGCGTTCGTTCCCCAGTGCAGACACCTGCGCTCCGGAGTTTTGCAAATATCTCAGTATTACAGAAGTTATACTTCGAAACATACTCTGCCGTTAAAAAAGAATAGGCAGTAAATAAAAAGGTTAAGATTGCTCTAAAAACCGTTAAAGTTAACGTTTAACTAATATAATAAACTAAAAAATCAATGACAATCCTACGTCATTGTTAAGAACTCGTTCGTCTCGTTTGAAGACGGTGAAAAGAAGGGTGACAATTTTCTGTGACCTTGACTGGAATTTTTCATCTACCATGCTTACAATTATCATAATCTGTTCCCTAAAAAAAAGAATAAAGACACGAATTTCAATAACGTTGACATGGACGGCAGAAAACAACATAGCGAACTGAATGAAACTATTACATATCGTAAACTCTTACAGGATATTTGGACATCCCGAAATGTTTCCAAAAGCAGTAGTTCTCATATTAGTAGTAGCTAGTACAGTGCTATGGGTTCCGTACCTCGCCTTTGATAAAGACCATGGAGGAAGAATTACACCTTCTAGAAACAGTTCAGGATGTCCAAATATCCTACAAGACTTTACGTTCCCTTAATGAAAATAATACTACGTAACATATTGTACCACAAGAATGATGTACCTGGTCAAAACTGCTGATTCATTAAGGTACATCCAGGTTTCCAAAATGCCTATTAAGTCTATAGCAAGGGCATCCAGTCCAGTACGAAGCTGAAACGGAGTGCACTCACTTTGATGTCCAAATGAAAAGGATTCAAACTGCAGGAAGAAATTACCGATTCCTTTTTCGATTCCTGCTCAAGCAAAAACCAAACATTTGACATCACCTTCTGTACAAGATTTGAACGTTCACTGTCCACCGATGGATTGGATAGCAAAGAAGATAAGGTAGTAACTGCACAGGACACTACCTTAAATTAAAAAAAACAGCTGAAGTTCGCAAGTATAAATATTTGGTTCCCTACTGCTCGCCTTGTCTTCCTGTTCGTACTGATATTGGTTTTTCAAGGTTGCGAAATTTTAGGACTATTATAGCTCTTTTAGTATTACAATAATCACGAACACCTTACAAATGCCTAGAACGCTTTGGATTTTAGCTCTCTCCTTTTCGCTCAGGTACAACAGCACGTATGGGGCAGATATTGCTAGGATTACCTGTAATGCAATTGGCCAAAACTCAACTAACAGTTTCAAGCAAACTGAATTATAAACTCATAACCTAACAGCCGAACACTGCTCTACACGCACCCTTTCTGACAATGGACTTGGAAAAATCATTTGTAAGAGTCATGAAGACCATAGACACTGTCACACGCATATTAAGTTACAGATTTGCAAAAAGCACATGAAAAAAGATGTCTAATTACCAAATGCAAGCAAAATCACGAGAAAAATGCTATGCATGAATCAACCCTACAAACCCAGAAATTAACTTTTTCGGGAAACCACTAAAAACTGATTAAAAGTCTCATTACTGAAATAATACGTTAGTTTGAAATGAAACACTATCACAGGTAGAGCATTTGGACACTCACATCATCTACCGGATCGTCTAAGCTTGCGACAACGAGTTCAAAGCAATCGTGAAAAGCATCAGAAGAAGAAGCGACAGCAAAGAAGTATTTGAACGCTAGAAGAGCACTCTGCCTGCAGTGCCAATTCTGTAAAAGAGAGAACCTATTACAGCTTCAATATAAAGGATGAAGGCTAAAGGGATCTCACTCGTTCTCCCTGCATCGATAACAGTGTGCGAAGTTTGCTAAGTACTACGGACTGCCTCATTTGATCAGTTTTATACAAGAAATGACCTAATGCTTGAGCACAGGTCTCACGAACGGGGGCAGTAGCACTGCGACCTAAAACAGCGAAAATATTGGAGTTCAGAGAGGACTTAAACAGTAAAATTATTTAGAATAGGAAAATTATTTAGGAACCCATCCCCATCAAAAAGAAGGTTAACAATAAAAACTAACATAACAAATAATGAAAACAACTTTGAATAAGTCGCAAGAGCGAAAAACATCACTCATTCTCATGAAAACCTGAAGCGTAGTAAGTACATTTACTTGGATATTTGGATACTTGAACGGTTCGTGCTCATTGGTTGTGTGGACTTTAGCATAGCCTCCACTTTTCGTAGTTCCGCTTGTTTAGCCACTACGTTTCTCTGGAGTGCCGAGGTCAGCCTGGCTAAAGTTTGCCCCAGGTCGTCACTACCACAAACATTCACCGCTCTTGTGGATAAGAGGGAGATTTGCCACCACATGATTAGTTTGATACCAGGACGGTGGTGGATCCTGGTATTGGTTTACTCTTATCTACGATTCCTAATGGAAACGCCGGACTACTTCTCAGCTTGTTAGACCCTGCTAGTGGATGAACCCCACCGATGTACATCGCAACCCGACACCCAAGAGCACCTCCCAGCCACGATGAGGCGACGCGGTAAACCTTTGTGAGGTCAAGTACATCTAACACTAAGAATATCTATCCAGTGTAGTGCGAACCACATCTACTCTGATTAAAACATAGAATCACGAAGTATTTGTAGACATGTGAACTGATACAACAATCGAATACCTGAGACAAAATCATTGAACTGGTCAAGGATTAGAACATGTAACAGCTGTAAAGCACATGAGTCGACAAAAGGAAGAGGTAGCCTAAAACCACTTATGTTAAACAACAAACTCTTATGCAGTGATAGAGAGTACCTTGGATACGAGGTAGACATAATCCTAGCTATTGCTAATGCAGCACCATGTCTATGTTGCCATCTTTGATCTGATAATATGGGAAAAAGCCTGTAATGATTAGAATTCAAGAGTGGTTTCCCAGAAGCCCCTAGAATTATTCTGCAAACGGACAGAGTTAGTTTTGAAGAGCGAATAGCAATATTACCTGCAAATAAAGCTCAATAAAGCCTTTTGGGAAGAAGAGTCCAGACTATCGCTATCTTGCAAACCCTCGACTTTTATCGCCACATTTAACTTCGGATAATCTGAGGTGAGACGCTGGGCAAATAAGTGACATTAGCTCGATGATTTAGGAAAATAGATGAAATGATGAGTAGCACATACCTCACCGGAATCCTCACGTGGAGAATTATTACCACTCTGAGGTAGCATGTCAGCGTCGTTAAGAAAACCGGCCTGAAATCTGATGGAGGCTTTCACACGATGAGCAATGATTCCCAAGTGCAATCGACTTGCCGAGGTCACGCCAATGAATGCATTCATCTCGAGATGTTGATCGAGCATCAGACGCTGTTGATGAGCGTTTGCCTTAATAGCGGAAGTGCTCTCAGTCAGAGCTGAGCCGTCATCACTGAAAGAACGAAAAGATGAACACAAAGTCCCGTCACGCGACAGAAACGAATGAAGGACGACAGGCGCCAAATGGTGATCGGAGGGATAACAGAATGATGGAATGGAAGCGTGATCCAATCATGAATTAAATACCTTTAATTACCCTTATGGAGTGTGTGGGTGTGTAGTGCAGTGGTCGGAGGCGCCTTTAATACACATGGGGTCCATCCTCGCGCCCCAGGCTCACTAAGCCTCCATCCTTACGGGATCGGCAGTGCTACAAGACATGTCCTGGAGGATCGTAGCACTGGCTCGATACATCGGCGGTAAGCCACCAAGTCGTTGTAAAGGCCAGATATGCATTTAATCACCTCCAATGATGCTTAATGAAGTTGAATGCACAGCACATCTCTCAGGGTTTGACAACCCCGAGAGCTCTATCTTCCTTTTTTTACCCTCATGGAGAACCAACAAAAAGATCAGAGAACGTTTCGAAAACGAAGACGGTTAGTCAAGGTGAGAATAGCACATCGCTCAACATTTTGAGTCATTCTGTACATTGATGCTTTATTTGAGCTAAAACATACTTCCGTATGTTTCATTTTCGATACATTATAAATTACACCACAACGGCACCTAGTTACAAGATATTAAAAAATTAGCGCTTTAGAAAGCTTACATTAAAGCCGACTGTAAGTTCAGAAGCTTCATATGATGTTTAAAACTGTCCCTACTCACTCACTATAGCTGGTTTTATGGGGATATTGTTTTGTGTCCCATAAAAATGAAATCTTTACAACGGTTACCCGCCTCATTGTGGCTGGGAGGTATCGCTAGGTGTCGGGCTGCTCTGTAAAACGGGGAAATTCATTCCCCGGCAGGGTCTTCCAAGTTGAGGAGTCTGATGATTTCATTAAGAAGCCCAGCTGGGAATACACCAATAGTAGGATACACCACCGTCCTAGTATCAAACTAGTCGCATGGTGACAAATCTACCATTGATCAACATGGGCTGCGACTGCCTGTGGTGGTAAAGACCTGGGGCAGAATTTGGCCTGGATCTCAGGAATCCAGGAAACCACAGTGGCTAAAGCAGCAAAACTCCGAGGAACTGGAAATTATGCTGGAGCCCGCATAACCGGTGAAGACGGCCTATATAAGTATCCGTGTAGGTAAAACTAAATTCGAAAAGATTACCTCAATAAAGGATTGAACGTCTTTAGTACATGCGCCGCATTGATTTCCTGAAGAGCACTCATGATGGGGGTATCTTCGATCTCTCCACCGAACGCTTCCATATTCAGCAGAAGTAAATTCAGAGTGTCAGCGGCCGCCACCCGTCCGTCCCAAGATGGAGAACAGATGTGGGTCAACAAAACCTAATAAACACCTTGTGATAGCACAAGCTTAGAAAAGTCATTCGTTAGTAAAAATCTAGCTGACCTCGACTAACTTGTCGTCTGAGAGACAGTACTTGCCTAAGGCGATCGCAGCTTCCCGTCGAAGTGTACCGTTTCTCGACTCGAGTATACTTCCAAGGTGATTCAGTCGTGTATCACCCATCCTTAGCGACTGAAAACTACGTAAGGATGATTAGATTTCCTTCCTAAGCACGCCAGAAAGGAGTTTTTCGAAAACAACACGGACAAAAGTTTGGTTAGCGATTGTAAGGAAACCTCTAAAAAATCAGTTATTTGATTGAAATTACACAGATTATCGAAACGATCAGAATATGATGGGCACGATTCCTCTGCCCCGGTAAGTCCTAGGGAAATAACATAGTTTTCCATAAAAAACGTCCTTAGAGTCCTCAATCACTACACGAACTCCCATAAAGCTCTAAAGGATAAAGCTCTGGGCCTTGATCAATCCCTGAGAGATGTGCCATGCATTCGACTTCATTGAGTACCGTTGGAGGTGATTGAACACATATCTGGCCTTTACAATGACTCGCGGTAGCCTACTGATGTATCGAGTCAGTGTTACTACCCTCCCAGACAAGTCTGGTACTATTATCGACCCCGGAGGAATAGAAGGCTTGGTGGGCCATGGGTGCGAGGATCGATTCCACGTGTGTGTCGCAGTGGCACCTCCAACCACTGCGCCACACGTGTCCTTTTTATGAACTCTCATAGTCCACAACATTCGGCGAATATTTCAACAGAAGGACAGATTTTTTTCGAAAAGTTATGACTTGAACAATGAACAAAACAGATTAGCTTTTATAGAAGAAGAAAACTCTACTGATACTTCCTAGATAACGACACCACAAGCGTCGGCACAAAAATCGAAACGGCTCGAAGGATCTGTTCAACGTAACCACCGGTACGTTCTTCTCCTACGAAGCCCCTACACTACTCGAACTTTTTATGCACTAACAGAACAAGGACGATCCCTAAAGAAAAGAGAAGTAGAACATAACCACTACGATAAAGGCAATAGGGCCCATAAGGACATGTGGACGAAGTGCTGCGTCCTGCCATTGGAGCACGATATCTATTCCGCGAACAGTGCAATCCCTTTTTCGAGAAGTAAATAAACAAATAGTCAAGCAAATACGCGAATAAGAATGGGAAAGCAAAAGACAACAACAAAATCAAACACTAAATAAAGGAAAAACTTGCGACGAACCTCGATTAGATGCATTCCTTTTCCTTACTGTACGCACAATTGGTCGAAGTTTAGTTAAACAACTTTACGGCTCTATCTTCCTTTCAATATACACTTTTGTGTAACATTTATCGTTTAATGTGATAAGGAAAATTGGTCCAGAGGATCCTCTTCTTTTTTGATCTTTCGAATTTATCTCAGCAAGATTTTGTTTCAATATATTCTTGCAATCATCATGGAGATTCGCTCATTTCCACTCAGAGATTCTGCAATCAGATCGTCGATGTTAGTGAAGTTTTTGTCATGGATGAAATTTTCTAGAATCCGGAGGAGAAAAGATCAGACCTAGTAAAGTGGCAGCTACAGGCCGGATGTGTGACGGAATCCCGGCTGTGCACCTCTGACTGTAGCTAACAAGCCGTGAAGACCATCTAGAACAGCGCCAAGAAGACAGCGGGACAGGCTTCTCTTGGTGGTTCTTCTCTAACAGCAGTCGAAGAAAGTGACCACGAAAACGTTCGTGTGGCAATCCGATTAAGTTTTCGGTAGTACTCAGTACAATTTGCTGCCACAACAACCCCAGTTGTACAGAATAAACTCACTGGGTAGAGTGGACCTCTGACATCCCTAAAGACCTTTTGTAGTAGCCATCGAGTCATTAGATACCATCTGAACGTCTCCGCCAGTGAGAAGCTAATATCACTAATATGAACCAATATTCATTAATGGCTTAATTTTTTTGTCTCATATCTTCAATTGGATACGTCATGTTAAACAGGAACAACCAGTCAAAGCAAAAGCTTTGACAAATTCGCGACAATAGCGTTTTTTGGATAACCAGTCGTAAAACTTCAGTAATCAAACACTTAGGAGGATAAGAACTTCAGAAACTCGTAGAAGAGGGTATAGCCCTTGGCAATAAGAAAAACGACTTGTGAGTTTCAGAAAGGCACAACCTTAGAATGAGATAGGTGGTAAACTGCTACCAGTACTCCACAGATTCTAAAAGTTTTTATTTAGATTGATGAGGTTTACTTCGAGCTCATATTTTTCCAAAGTTGAAGGTCTCAATTACCCTCTAGTGTGCATGCGTTGGAACCAATTTATGTAACATTACTATAACGTTAGTATGATTTGGTAGAGCTCCTCAAGATGGTATGCTATTGAAACACCGTTTCACAAAAGGTGTTGCTCCAAGCAGTTACTAGATGACGGCAGTAATATCCGTCAATCCTATTACCTATCCACTAACCCTCTTATTATTTCATATTCCATTACTGTTTGTTGATATGACGTAGAACGTTGCTCCTGTCAGAAATCATGAGCATACGCTGAGGATAGATGCTGCTTCGTAAGCATTGCCGGATACTTTAGGTCAGTAAAATGGAACATATCGGCAGTATGTTCTTTCAGGATATTTCGAAGGCTGTCAGTTGCAAGTGGACACGATTCTTCACTCGCTCGTAAGGAGGCTACGGAACGACAGTCGTGTCATTCTCCCTTTTTTCTCCGACTCACAATTTTGTTCCGTTGGTTTTCAATGAGTAGTAGGCACACTGTGCCTTGGGAAGTAGTGTATAAGAACTACGTCAACGTGTTATTCATATATTCAGCATGGATGGTGAAATCCTTCCAAATTCTGACGGGTGGCAGGTGAAATGCAGAAGAATTTAGCAAATTTAGTAGCGTTACACTTCTAGATGGATAACGTAATACTTTCTTTACCATTTTGTGTAGCTCTCATCCCCATAAGTGTTCTAACTGTATCGTTTATTGTCGAAAAAATCAGTACTCGTAGCGTTTAAATCGCTGACGAGTTCACAGGTTTTCTTCTTTGGCTCCTACGAAATCAACTGTGCTCGCGTATATGTTTAGGTAACCTGACACAACCTTAAAAAGCCCCGAGAGGAAGACTCTCATGTTGAGCACAACTGTTTGACACTTAAAGGACTGCGGGTCGCGTGCAGCTCTTGCTTCCTTTCCTTTCATTTCTGTAGGATCGAGAATGACAACGAATACAAAGGCGGCAGTGTTGAATAAGAATATTCGAAAAGAAAATGCTATTTTCGTCATAATCCGGAAGTATTATTGAAAAGAAAAGCAGGAGTCCGTAAGCAGTTTCAGAAATGGAAAGTTAAAATAAGTGCAACGAACTGTGAGCGGGAAGGAGACAGCGATGAGAAAACTACCGTAGAAACAAAAACCCTCTATTATTAAATTCTTCCTGCAGTAACGGAATATAAGGATACGATGGAATTTTAATTCCGCTATAGCGGACGAATGGCGGAAGGGACACGTCGGCATCACTGATACCTGTATCACTTGTATCGCCTGTCATCCCGTTAATCATCAAGTGACACGTGCGGGCGCCAATAAATCTTCCCTTTCTCCCTGTCGCGTCCAAAAGTATCCCAGTAGGTTCTGCTCGCTCTAGGGACTAGTTGAGCATCATA